TTATGAGGCTCTTATTATTACCGCCTATAAAACACTACAACAGTCAGTCTTTTTTGTAAATTGTATGCTGCATTTAAATTCAAGCTGTGTTTAGAATATAACTAGGCTATAACATCTATAACATCTATAACAGCGGCGAGTGGATGACATCAAAAGAGACGCTGCGTGTGAACGTGCACTTCACAGATGCGCAGCGCAGGCGAACAACCTGCACGGGGAAGACAATGAATAAAATAGAATAAACATTATGTAAATGCCTGAAATATGGGGATGGTGTTTATAGGAAATGCACAGCCAATGTGCTAAATGTTTCCCAAAGTGTGTTGGAGCAACATGTAGCAGAAATAATCACAAAATCACATCATTTTTATTGCAGGTAAATTTTACCCGCTATGGCGGTTATAGGTATACAACAAACCCTGGCGGTTCTAGTGTTAATGTCAGTTGCTTTCTAACTGCACAAACATCTTAACATTGTAATACCCTCAACATAACAGTAACTCTTGGGGGAGGGCAGCTGTTGCTCATTGGATAGAAAGGTCATCCCCTTATCAGAAGGTCTGTGATTTGATCCCTGGCTCCCCTGCATGTGAGAGTATCCTTAGGGCAAGATGATGAACCCTAAATTGTGAATGTGTATTTCTGTTTCTTCAGACAAGATTATTGAGCTTAGTGATGGAGATGCAGCTGAAATGGGTTGACCAAAACTGGGATGAGTGGTCTGCTTTTACACAGTTTTATTTTTGGTCTTTCAACATCAAGTGTTCTCATTACATCACCTGTATGTAGACAGGATTGAGTAGTCTGGCTTGTCTAGACTAAAATTCCCTCAAATGCAAGATATGTTGATGATGACCTATAATTATGTCATATATCATATTTTTCAAGGACTACACTGCACCTAAAACCCAGGTGGTCTCTTCATTCGTCAAGGAAAGATTCACACATTTTCACTTCACTGACACTTCTGTCAGGTCACACTGAACCATCAGCACTACTACAAGTCAAAAAAAAAATCACATCTCCACCTCTGCTCCTGACCATTCATAAGATTATCGAACCGCACGATTGGAAATGATACTGCCAGCTATGGAAAATAGAGTCCCCTGGAGATAAAGAAACAGCTGAAATGAGTGGGAAAAAGTAGGGATGAGAGAGGGCAAGACGATTTGATGAAGTGTGTGATGATGTATCCATTAAAGTGCAGTCCAGAACATTAAACAATATAGTGGGGTTTGTAAAGGTCAGTACTCTCAAGGGGTTTATCCATATTGATCTTTCGATTGTGGCGGACTCTGCACCATTGTCCATCTAAATCCTCTACTGTGTTGTAGACCTAACGGAGAGAAAGAGAGAGAGCGAGAGAGAAACAGAGAAAGGCAGTCTTCACAGGTCATTTTATGTGAGACAGTACTTGTCTGTCGTGCTTTGCTGACTATGTCTAAGATGGAAAATGACTTGGAAACTCCCAGAATCCTCCGGTGCTCTCAGAATAAATTAATACATTTTCTGTATGTTGTTTTGTTGCTACATTTTATTATTTACATTCCTCATGAATTATTTTAGTAGGCAGACTTTAAACCTTCCAAACTCCTGTCAGTAGATCAGTGGCATGGTAATATTTGTAGCACATGTTTTCTAGGAACACGAGCAGCATTGCTGGCTTTGTGGCTGTTACCAGACATGAACAGCCGCAGGAATTTAAAAAAGAAGGATGAGAAGAACTGGAAATTAAACCCCACCCCCACTTAGTTACTACTGACAGGAGTAGGATCAAGCTATTCACTCTAGCACAATAGGATCCATAAGCAAAGGTAACAATGCCAAATTGAGGCTCCCATTCGAAAATTGGTAGTGATTTTTGAAGCAATGCCTCGTCAATTTCCAGAAATAAGCAAAAGCAGGCTTCTCATTTCAGCCGACAAAAGTCAGAGCCGTGAGAAGCCTGCTTTTGCTTATTTCTGGGAGTCAAAGATCACTGTCAGCAGATTTTATCAGCTGTAGCTAGCTAGCTTTTGTAAATGCTTATGCTAACATATAAACTTCATGAATTCTTTGAAAACTCTGTCGCTGACTTTTCATTGTTTCAAGATGTTTGATTTTAAAATGAGAACTCTGTAAAGGCGGTGCAAATAAACATATGATGGCTAGGCTATATACACGATAAAGCTGTAATAAAGATGATAAAGATGTAAGCCTGTTTGGTTGCTAGGTATAGAAAAATAGGAAAAAGAGATTTATGCTTTATCATTTGTATTTTCAAACTTTACTTTTATAAGACACTTTTATAAGATAAGTCTTTGAGGATGAAGACTAACTGATGTTTAGCAAACCTAGTGGTATCTAATGTACTGTTTAGCTGGGGTTGCTGAAGTTTTTGCTTGCAATAAAGGGAAAGACAGAGCTGCTATCATTACCCTCAACTCTTATAACATCTTGGTTTCCAGGCAGTATGTTCCAGTAATGAACAGTTATCTTTCTATCATAACTTGTGACTCCCAAAAATTATATATATACACTATATACACTGACTTTGGAGATAATGCTACATTACTAATGTAGGAAGTCAAGTACACCACAAGTTTTGTAACATTGTCTGCTGAATTCTGATGAATGATGATTGGTTAGGAGGATGAGTAGTGTTACAATATCTAGGAGCATAGTCATGGCACCTGCACAGAGTAAGTGGGCATTTGTACTGTGGCAAATGAAAACGTGTAAATCCGGGGCTGTTGGCATGTGCATCTCTCCTCTCGATTTGATAGTCACCTTAGATGCAACAATATTCTTTTAAGTCGTTTTTTTAGGCATTTATGCAATGAGGCAAAATTGAAATCTGTTCAATGTCTTCTAAAATATTACAAAGCGATGTTGCATTGTTTGTTAATTTCAGTTTGTTGTGAAATAAAATAAAACTAGCAACCCACATACATGCACACAGTAGTTATTTATTTTACAAAGGAGCTGTAGCTAGTTGTTGAAATGATTACATTGATCTTTTGGTAAAATATTGTACTTATGCCGTTAGAATGTAAAAAAAACAACTCTTTTCCCCCCCTGACAAAGCGTTGTCTCTGTAATAGGCCAAATTAGAGGGCTGCTGGCAATGGCCATTTGAGCAACCATGACAGAGCCAGTGACACTTCCCAGGCATTTGCGCAATGGGAGGCAGGGGGAGGATGTGCTGTGCGTGCATGTGTTTTTCCTTAGGTCAACTCCTTGATAGAAGCTAATGCGAGGAAATTTTAGTGTCAATCACTTTTGCACTCTGTAATATAATACTCACACACAATCACATTCAATGTGGCTAATGTGTCTTAGGTATACTGTAAATCTAAGTCAGAGGAGGAAGAAGTATCCAGCTAAGTAAAAGTGCTAATACCATACTGTGAAGATATTCCAGGAATAAGTAAAAGTCATGCTTACAAAACTTTACTAAAGTAAAGTATGGAAGTATTATCGGCAAAATGTATTTAAAGTATCAAACGTAAAAGTACTCACTACAGCTAAATGGTCCCTATCAGTTTTATGTGGATTCATGTTTATGGTGAATTTTGTCTGCTATTAGGTTGAGTTGATTTTAACTACTTTATATACTTTTGGGTAGTTTAATCTACAGCAATTCATCATATTCTTTAAGATCATCACATGTTTGTAGCATTGCTGTCCTACGAGAACCATATATCTCTAAAAAGTAAATGTTTCATGAGCTCAGAAAAACAGCCCTGTTTTCAGCTTTGTGTCGATGCATTTTCCACTAATCCACTGTTTTTTAATTTTTTTTATTGTTTATTTAGCATAAGAATTAGGACAATTTTCTCAACCCATAAAGGAACACTTGATCCTTCAGTATATCAAACATTTACATTTCAAATCACCGGATTTGGAGATTGATTTCCACTGGACAGGAAGAGTATGAAAAACTGTAATCTGTAGAGCAATGGGTAACTAAAGCTGTCAAATATGGTGGAGTAAAATTTACAGTGTTTCCCTCTGAGATGTAGTGGAGTAGAAGAATGAAGCAGCATAAAATGGACATACTTAAGTAAAGTACTTGAGTAAATACTTGTAAGTACTTAGTTGCATTCCACCACTGCTCTCAGCTTCTATGAGTAAAAGCAACCACTGCAAAAAATCCCACGGGCAAGAAGTACCCATGTGGAAAAGATCTGCTAAATCAAAGATTGTTTCCCCTGCCGAGGGAGTTGATTAAGCCTTGTGTTGCTGAAACTAAGCCTACAAATCCATTTGCACAGATCAGAACAGTCTGCGCTCATGCCTCCGTATGTTTGTACCAATTGAGATAAAACCGACTTAGATATGTTGCATGATTCCACTTTCTCCATACTCTCTCTCTAGGCAATCATTCTGTTTCCACAAACTCTCATAATTTAAATCAGATGTGCTCTCTGATATATTTAGATTCTTTTTTTTTAGTTACTTACTTTGCTGTGCTGAATTGTGAATACTGTCACATTGCATTTCAATGTGAATATTTTTATTGACATTTCATGTTTTCCCTCTAAGCTAATGAGCCAGTCAGAACTGACTTCTTCCTGATTTTCTGAGATAATATTGCAGACTTGACACTCTGTTATCTGTTTCTGCACGATGTGTGCTGAAATGTATCAGGGTGTTCTTTAAATATTCTGCTACAAGGAGCAAGCCAAGGGAATGTAGGCGTTTGTATTTTTATTTTTGCCAGAGTCGTGTTTTGGATGTACTAAAAAACTTGCCTTTTTTGACTTCTATGAGTGTACAAAATAGCAGTGGGTGCGATGAGCATTTTATCTACTATAGCTTTAAAAAAAACAACTTTCTGTATGCTATGGCACAATTACATCTAGTATACAAACTGTGCATCCATTTGCCAGTTTTTGTTGTAATCTTTCTATTTAACACACTTGGCCTCTCACTGGATTTCATATATCAAGCTATACACTGCAGATTTTACGCATTAAAAAGTGAAATAAATGTGGTTGTTTTATTTACTTTTCCAGACCCATATGATGATGATGATCTGAAGGTGAAGACCCAAAGACCACGATCAGCTGACCAGCCAGGTGTGTTTCAGGCACAGACAGGTGAGTAATGTGTGTGTGCATGTGGGAGCATGAGTGTGTGTGTGTGTGTGTCACAGCACAGAACAAGAGTATCCAACTTGACCTTGACCTACAGGCTGTATGTGTAAGTTAAAATAAGGAGTTCCATATAAATAATTTTATAAATTTACCTTTTGATGCATGACTGATCCCTGGGGAAGCTTCCATAATTGACCATAGCCATGTGTGAATATGTGAATGTGTGCTTTTGAATGGGTTTGGCTTACATAATTAATGGATTTAATTATTCATCACATTATACATTAAACATATTAACATATTTTAATTTAATATAATTTTTCTAATTCCATGAACGTATATATATATACAGAGGAAACTGTCCTTTACACACATGACATGTTGATTGCTTCACCCACAGCAGAATAAGTCACATACCAGTTTGAGACTCTGCACCTATGCATACATACACATACACACCCACATTCACATCTACCACTGCATGGAGGAGGGAGTCCCTACCGCGAGGAAAACCCCATGGCTCTGTCTTGTCCTTCTCCTCTGTTCTCCTCCTCCTTGCTTCTCCCCATTCTTCCTTTCCTCCAGGCATATGTGATGAGCTTAAGCCCTGACTCACGGCATGTTAATGACGATGTAATGCGATTAACGGACATGCAATTAATTTGATTTCCTTCTTTGCCATGTGATGACGCCTCCATCAAAGGACACAGCGCTCATAAACAATTTGGAGGGAGAGAAGTGGAATGACTTAACTCGTAGTTTTTGCTTTCAAGGGCGTAACTCAGAGGAAACAATGGGATGCCTTCCACGGCTGCCAGGAGAACTGAAGATCAACCAAAACATATCTTAGCACTCTATGGGTGCTTACGAACTCATAGAAGACACAAAATTAAATAAAAAAAATTAAATGCTTTTTTTTATGTATGTAGCACTATATCTACATCTAAAGCTTAAATCCTTTTTTGGCTTAAAGGTGTGGGATCATATGTGTTGCCAATGATTCCGTGAGTATTAATATTGAGTATCAGCAGGTTTCTCTAACAGGATCATCATCCTTATCAATATTCAATCAATGTGTATACTTATTTAGTATGCATCAATATCATATATTGGGTATTGATATAGCATCACATGCCAGGCCATGTGAAATTATATAAAATCTAACGTTGAACATAAGCATAAGAAGCAAAAGCTCTCCTATATCCAACAAATGATGCTCTTGGGCTCTCTCAGCTTCTAAATGTCTCTCATCCACGGGAGGAACAGAAAAAAAGAATGGCCCTGTATCTACAGAAAGTCTGTTTGGTTACTGTAACCAGGAAGCTCTTTTATCATCTGTCAGATAGTCCCAGGCTTTTCTCTTGACAATAGTATACATTACAATTTTGCAGGGACGTGCACAGGAATTTTGAAGGGCAGTTGCTCTGACCTGAAAAAAGGCACTAACACAGTATCCAAAATGTATTAACAATATAAATGTCACCAAAATACATATGAGAAAAAGAGTTCCTTATATTATTGTTTATTGTTTTTTTTTAATCATTATTATTTTTTATTTTTTTTCCTTTTTTTTTTTTATTTGAAAATAAATAATCTAGATTGAATTGACAGATGGGGGAAAACTTCTAATAAAATATTAAATAAAAAAACGCTTAGATTTCGGAAAAAAAATACAATCCTTTTTTAACCTTTTGGCTTCCCGTACATTCAGTTGCGCTTCTAGCTCGTATTCACTTCTGTTGGTACGTATCACGTATGGTAACTGGGCAAAACTACGCATGATTTGTTGTAGTATGATTGCATAAAGGAAGGAAACAGGAATTCCGGTAGGGAACAGAATCGACTGACGTGCAGGCAGCGCTGCAGCAGTGCAGCCACTTAAACAGAGTTTGCCCTTCCCCTACTGACTTTCACTTTCGGTGCCCGAATGGAAGTGAATGAGGCTTTGCGATCGCGATTATTTTTTTATTTTATTTTTTTTTCTCGGAAGGGCGAGTCAGAAGGGCAACTTGAGTCAGGAAAGGCAAACGGGCAGTTGCCCGGGCAACCAGAGCAACCCCCCTGTGCACGTCCCTGCAATTTTGTTTGTCTTTTCTCATTGTAGTAATGTTGCAATGGTGTCACAGGCATCCGAGGGAATTTTCATTTTATTTCAGTAAATAAGAGTAAAGAAGAACTAAGCATTGCTAACACGAATCAATAAAGCCAACATGTCTTGATGCTTTTGGTTCTGGGAAAATTGGAAGTGAAAATGTATGTATGACTTGTAATACATCTCCACGAACAGTAACTCTGATTTCTTTGCTGGGGCTTTATACTCTAAGGCTACTTTAATACAGCAATATAAAGAAAGTTTAATATTTTATGGGTATGAGATGATAGTCTAATGAGCCACATGGTTGTATGCTTTGTCCTTGTATATATATATATATATATCATGAATGTAGAGAAACCTGGAACCTGTCACATCACCTGTTGCTGCTGAGGATGTTTTAGAGCCGGCATTTGGTTTTATTTGCTTGAAACCGTGCAGCCAGCAAGCTGCGATTGTGTCAGTTAATATTACCGCTCCTCTTGACCTTTTGTGTTCCATCTGACACATCATGAAATGTTAAGAGTTCTCCTCTCTCTGTCCATTTCTGCCTTGCTCTTCAGGTGACCCCGCAGCAGAGGAGTGGTCACAGTGGAGTGTGTGTTCTCTCACCTGTGGGCAAGGCTGGCAAGTGAGGACACGATCGTGTGTTTCTTCTCCCTATGGAACACTGTGCAGCGGTGCCCTCCGGGAAACACGCATGTGTAACAACACCGCTTCCTGTCCAGGAGAACCTGGGGTCACAGGCTCAGGTATGCTTACTGAACTCTCCACTGGCTGCCTTTCAGCATTGCCTGAATTCACGGGCACTGACTGTTCTTATTCAAGAATGATGGGGGTTCTGTCTTTATGTATTTATTTATCTTTGAGTGATTTTTTAAAATCTGAGATAGACTGGTGACCCCTCCAGAGTGCCTGGCTCCCCACAGTGCATTCTGGGATATGCCACTATGACCCCAAGTAGGGATTAAAAGGTCGAGAAAATAGATTAACAACGTTAAGCAGTATTGAAAAATGACGACCAACGACCACACTGTAGGCACCGTTCTTTTTAATTGTGTTTTGTAAAATATAATTTGACAAAATGCAGCTTTCAACCATAATCTTTCTGCTTAACACCTCACTCACCCATGCGGCATTTACTTGTCTATTTAAAATGTGTTAAGAAAGCTGTAAAACCAAAGACAATAATGACAGTGTGAAACTCTTGTCACTTTTGTGGAGGGTAGGCAGTATGCACACACACACACACACACACAATCACACACATCACATGGGATCATTTTGTCACTTCAATTCACACTACTGGCCAGCTGAGAGAGAAAGAGGTAAAGACACAGAGAGACAGACATGACACCTGAGCTCAATGTCAGCAAGTCTATTATACTTGCCATGGCTCAGAAGTTAATACTTCCTGGCCTCTCTATCTTTAGCTCTCTTCTGTTCTTTCACTTTTCTTTCAGCATTGTTCTGTTTTCCCTTGTTTTGCCTATATTAATGTCTACCTATGTCTAAACAAATTCGGTATTCTAGAAAATTAGAAAATGAATCCACCAAGAACATAATTACAAGAGAAACTCATCAAGGTAAGAAGGTAAGAATACGGCCTATACAAAGATCGAAATTGTTGAATGTAAATTAAATGTAAAGTTAAATTTGTGGTCGCACTAATGTGATAAACATAGAAAAACATTCAAAATGAAAACTGCAGCTACACTTTTGCTTCGTATTCTGCGGAATGCATTTTTCATTTTAAATGCAATGGCAGCTCTAAGATATATTCAACCTTTTAAATACAAGTTTTATTTGCATATGCTCTCAGCAAATCAAGGTGAGTGTATGCAACCCTACCTGCTTGCTACTAAAAGGCAGGAGCAACATAAAGCGCACTTTGTCACACGCAACACAACACAATCAAGCCAGATCGAGTCACTGAGTGGACATATGTACCGCTCATCCTGAATATTGTGAGTCCTTCACTAGATGGAAATTTTAAAGTACTGCCTGCCCCCTGCTATTATAGCCTTCACCAGTGTGCTAGTTGCACAGTGTGTTGTCTGTTTGCTTGCATGGTTCTTGTAGCTGGACAGGAGGAAGGATTATCACTATTGATCATCAATATGTAAATGATGGAAAATCTGATATTTCTCCAGGTGGGAACTTGGTGCATTCCTGTCAAAAAAGGCCTCACTATCAACTGAGGAATTGCATCTGTGGTGGGGCTATGCAAAGTAGATGAACAACCTCAACTCTGGTGTTCATACAAACATGGGCCATGCCAAAACAAGCAACAGTTGAATGTATATTTCTGATGCAACAACAGAGAGACAATTTGGAAAATCAATGCTGCTGGCTACTCAGTATAATCAAGAGAATCATGTCTGAGCCAGATATAATATCAGACAGTCTAAAACCAATAATACCTAAGAGAGTGCGTCACAGGAATATGGATCTAATGTCTCCCTCAAACAGCCATTCTAATAATGACAATGATGTGTTTGAGGACAGAACTTCCCTGTGGATGGATAACTCAAAGCAAAAGTTGGGCTACTACAGTCTAAATGTCAGCATCACCACATGGACTTCACCTATCACCCCTAATAGACATTGAACATTCAAGGTATCTCTGTATGTGCTACACAGTATGTATAGTATGTGTGGTTGTGGTGTTGATGTGTAGTTTCTGTTGTTTGTGTCTGCGCCTGCCTGCATAACGTGAGGGTGTTGTTTTGGCTTCGTCCCGTGTTATGTCAGTGTTATTCGTTACGTAAGTAAGTAAGTGCATTTCAGTGTGTATTTTCTGTACATCTAGAGTGAGAGTTTTGATGCCCCCCCCCCCGCAGAAAAACAAAACATGAGAAGCGAGAGGAATATTTTCCTTCCCTGTCGGTGCATATGCTAATCTTGTTTTTATGCAAATGTGCCAACGCGATTTGTATGTCTAAGTGCCTCATTTTCCATTCAGCGTCGATATTAATATCCTCAGCCTTTCCTTTGATGGAATATTGGTTGCTGTGTTATGTTCCGTTTATTATTTCTTTTTTCCCCCACTCCTCTGATGTTTCCTGATGTGGTTCTGGAGGGGTGTAGGGGTACTTCAGGGATTGCCTGAATGGGATCACACCAAATTCAAGTAGACTGGGAATGTAGGGGCGGTAGCAAAGAGACATAAAAGTGTTTAGTGAACTTAATGTGATTTACTTTCTTTTAAAATCATTTTAGTTTTATATTTTATCTTATCTTTTTACTTTGACTTATTGTGGGGTATAATTTGGGGCTTGTTTGATTTGTTAATCTTTATGCTGCTGGATTCAATCCCTGTCCACCCCTGGTCCAATGGGGAGTCATAAAGAAAAATTTAGTACTTCATACACAGGCAGACACACAAGCACACTAATCAGGACTGCAGTAATTTGGACTATCAATTCAGTCACAAAAATAACAAATGTACACCTCAAATACTATAAAAAATACACATAAAATGCTAATGTAACACTCTCAATGTCAATAAAAATAAAATAAAAATGAAACAGCGATTTGAGTTTGTAGAGAAATACATATAGAGACACAGCTCATTGGCTGAACATGTCAACCAGTAGGGCCAATTTCCTGATTTACCTGAAAGATCCGCAAGTGAAATGTCTTTAACCATGATCCTCTATTCTGTTTCATATGTATTTGCTCACAACCACAAATATAAACGGCACACAGGAATAAGAGCACATGCAGACACACACACACTTTCACAGTTTCTCCCAGAGTATCCTGAGGTGAGGAGAGTGCAGTCTGCATGCTTAATTGGGTAGATGGGTTTGCCAGAATTTTCTATTCTGCTTTTTTAGCATTTATTTGTGTTTGTGCACAAGTTAGGACTTAGAAGTATGGGTGTGTTATGAGGGTGAGTGTGGGTGGATATGTCTCTGGGCACATCTCTGTGCATGCCTGTATGTGTGTCTGCGCGAGTTAGGGAACATCAAAGAAGTAGCTTGGACAGAAAGCCAATGAAGTGAAAATGGACATTTTTTTCTCCTCCGTTTTTTATGGGTAAAACTCTTAAATTAAGGTGATACAGATAATCAATTTTAAGTAATGGTCTGGCTCTTGACAAAGCAAACTAGGCAGTAATTGGCCTGGCAAATTAACTTTTTTTTTTTGGAATATGCACTGAAGTATAAGGATTTCATGCCCCAAAGCGTGCAAAGTGAAGTAGTACCCCTGCTTCTCTTCTATTTAGCTACTGCTCATTTGCCATAGAATCAGTGACATTTAAAACATGCAGTGGAACAATGGTGCATTATGAATACAGTATGTCTGGGTCAGTGCGTAGTCAAACGCTGCAACACCACATTTCCAGTATTAACTCAAGCAAGAGACCGAAGGTGCATGCAAGGATATTGTCATGAACTCATGGCAGACTTATGCAGATGGTACACACACAAACTTACGCATGCACATACCCTCATACATAGTGTTAATTGATGCAAGCATTCCATGTGCTATGACCCCAGATGAAATTGCTGGTAATAATGGTGACACTTAGGGTCAATATGATGCATGTGCCCTATTATAGACTATGCAAATCAAATGTAATTAAAGCTGCAAGCAGCGTTGGGCGGGCCCTCACACGTGTAGCGCGTCGAGGAGTGAGGTGGCCATTTTGAATTTTATGGTCTTTTTTGGATGATCTACACACTCCGTATACTTTAACGAACTCCTCCTAGGCATTAAGAACCGTGCGAGGTCCCTATTGAAACTGAAGGGGATTCTTTTTCTTTTTTCTGCAAAGTAACCTCAATTTTGGGGGCCTAAACATATTCGAAAACTCACCAAACTTTGCACAAAATTCAGGAAATGGCTCGCTAACGCCCCCTACAGAGCAGCCCCCGGACTAAGTTTCACCTATGTGTACGAAAATTCTGTGGTATGTGTATCATGTCCAGATGTGCAAAAAAGCCTCTTGGAGCCATTGCCTAAACCCAACAGGAAGTCGGCCATTTTGGATTTAATGGTCATTGTTGGCGATTTACACACTCTGTACTTTTACGAACTCCTCCTAGGGAATAAGTCCGATCAACTTCAAATTTTCGCTGTGCAGTCTAAACCCATTGACGATTAAAAGTTGTACAAACGGTTATATCAGTCGGCCAGTTTACCCGTGGCGTGCTGTCAAACATTGATGATTCGCCATGAAACAGGAAGTTGTTATAACTTCAGTATACATGCTCACATCTGCACCAAATTTTATATGTTTAATAAGAGTCGCGCCCTGAACACACCCATATGCCAATATTCACTAAAAGTCATAGCGCCACCTGCTGGAAACAGGAAGTGACCTTTAACAAAGCAGCCCCCTACGCACGTTTCAACTACATGTATGAAATTTCTGTGGCACATGTATAATGTCAGGGCGTACCAAAATGCCTCTTGGAGCAATGCTCTAAACCCAATAGGAAGTCAGCCATTTTGAATTTTATGGTCTTTTTCGGATGATTTACACACTCCATACTTTAACGAACTCCTCCTAGGCATTAAGAACCGTGCGAGGTCCCTATTGAAACTGAAGGGATTCTTTTTCTTTTTTCTGTAAAGTAACCACAATTTTCTGCAAAAATCTTTGCAGAAAAAAGAAAAAGAATCCCTTCAGTTTCAATAGGGACCTCGCACGGTTCGTGCTGGGGCCCTAAATATAAGAAATTAAAAATTAAAATATCTTCATACAGCATGCATCATAAGTAAATATCATTATTGCACAGACACGTATAGAAGTCACGCATCCTCATTACAAATATCCTTATTCTCTGCAGTGCTATTAAAGTGTGCTCTACTAAGCGTGTGTGTATGCATATGTTTAAATAAAGGAGGGGGAGCGTGGACATTTTATCTTCTCTTATTTGAGCTTGCTCGCATTTACATCAGAAACCCAGGCCAGTGTAAGTGAGTCTATGTGTGCTCCCTTTTTGTGCACGTTTTAAATTTTTTTTTTTGCTATTCATTTTTCACAAAGCTCAATTTCTGGAGTTCATGAACTTGCTTCTGTGACCTTTGTGTTGCACAGATCTGTCACTTTGTTGTTTGATCATCACTGATCACTTATTTAATTCTTTTTTTTCTGTGCTTGCAGCTGTAAACATGCTCTTCTCCACCTCCCTCTGAGACTGCAAAGAGAACTAAAAGACAGTTGAACTAAAAGATGCGCTGTATAATGTTAATGTAGCTGTTGGTGTCAAGATAGACGACAAGTTTGATGTAATTGCCCCGTGTTGGTGTGTTTCTGACTGGACTGAATGGGGAGTATTTACCTGATCGTGGCATAGGTAGTGTGACATAATCCTAATCCCCATATCCAAGGACATTTTGTCATGTTTTTTCTTCTTTAATTTGCTTCTACATTTCTCCTATGTCCCTATCTCCAAATTATATTGATTCATTTTAATGTGTCTTAAACCCAAAGCAGCTTCAAGCTTGATTTTATGGGCCAATTGATTGACTTTGCACAGATACACTTTTATGGGGTTTGAGGGATGGAGACTCGATTCTGATGAATAAGTAATGGCCTACAAGCAATCCTGTGGTGTTGAGGTAAAAAAAAAGATGCTTAAAAAGAGAACTCTGACTGAACTGTATTTTTAGCTTCCCTCTACTCTTTATTGTCTCAAGTTCTGCCGTCTCCCGAGAAGGATCTTGCGATTTGGAATGAGATACCCCCAAGGAATCTGCTTGCACTTTGAGGATAAACACCACCTTTCGCAGCCACAACTTTCTCAGCTGGTTGCACTAAATTGCAATTTCAAAGCTCAAAAAATCTTTAATTTAGGGGCTGATGAACACTTGCAACCATGAAATAGTGCATTTAAAAAATAAAAGAAAGAAATTTGGGACTGGGTGTTTGCTGTTAGCTACAGTATGACTCACAAATCCCAAAATGAATGCCAACAACAATATTTTTTCAAATTCAGGATTGGGTTGCACAAGCCATTTGTAAATCTAATACAAAGTGTGTGTGTGTGTGTGTGTGTGTGTGTGTGTACAGTTCTTCTTAAGATCTTACTACTTGCTAGTTTCAAATTTGGTTGCACCAGCAAACCTGGCTAGTAAGTTCTTCAGTAATGTGAGGTGGTACATTTTGTACAAATCTCTACTTAGTAAACACTTATGTTATAACTATGCTGAGTTTTAACTCAAGAACAGCTGATATAACCGGCTCCAGTTCAGCAAGGGCCACAAATCAGCTTACTTGAAAAAGCATTTCATTAAAATGTACAAGTAGAATAACAAAAAACAACACAAATGCTTATCAATGGATACAGTCCTGATGCTTTTTTAAAATCTCTGCCAATATTGCAACATATAGCCATTTTCTACAGCTTACTTAAAGACACACTGATAACATGTGTAGCTGAATCTACAGATTACTCACTATTTACCAGCTCTCTATATCTCTGTACTTTTAATACCCCCGTCTTCTCCCTCTCTCTCAGCCTTCTACTCCTGCTCCTCTGAGCCTTCCTTCACAGAGTAGACTTAATTATTTATTGCCATGATTTATTTAGCTTTGCTCAACACAGGACCAGCAATCTCCATCCTGCTGTCTCTAACTTTCTATCCCTCCCTCCCCCCCTTCTCTATAGCTTGCCTTCTATCTTTCTCCCAGCATCTCTCCAAATCTGTTCCTTTCTCTTTCTTCCATCTCTTCAACATAGCTTAATCTCCTGCGGTCTCTCGCTGCACATTTCTGTATCTTCAAAATAACCTCCTCATTTTCTCTGCCTCTGTTTTCTCATTCCAAAGTCTTTCAAACTTTTTAAGCCCAAATCCCTTCTCTTACAATCTCCGCTCTTTGTCATGTTCATCTGTTTTTATTCTCTCCCTTCGTGACACTCATTAACCAGTCCTGTCACTCATCTTTTCATCCTTCTCCAGTTGAATATTTCTTTTGCATTCATGTTCCTCTAATATCTGTCTTTCCATCATTATTCCCTCTAATCTCAGGTCAATTATTTTTTGTGCATGCACGTGCAAATGCGTCTGTCTTTTCTCTTACATGGCAACAAGCTGCTGAATTATCCTTCATTATCTGCAAACTTTTTGGTGCAACTCCACTGCTCATTTATTTCTATTTATTCTGTTGTTCTAAAATGGGATGAAATGTGCCAAAAAAAAAAGGAAGAAGGAAAGAAGAGGGGAAACATTTTCAATACTTTAATTGGTGTTTGAAGTGTTTGAAGTCACTGGAGTTTTTGGATCCTTTGGTTCACTGTATAGAATAACTGAAAGCTCTAATAATTTCAGAAGCAAACTTACCACATTCGTTGTTTTGTTATGACTCGAGCTGCGTTACTGCATGACTTCAAATGCCAGTGTCCATTCCTACATTTTCTTTCATGTAGTAACATGTAAGTTCAGTGTTTCTTTTCCTTTGTAATTGGAATGCTTTTGTGGAGGTCAGAAGGTCACCTCCATCATGCTTTCTAAGGACAGACTCATTAAATATCTCGTTTCTCTCATTCTCTAACCCTCTTGCCTGCGATGGGATGGTCCACCCCCTCCCCCCTCTCCCTCTCTCCCTCATTCCTCATCCCCATGTTGTGTGTGTTTGTGCGTGTGTTTGTGGGTGCTGCAGTGCATGGGCTGTGGGAGGAGTGGTCGTCATGGAGTCTGTGCTCTGTGACCTGTGGGCGGGGCTCCAGGACGCGAACCAGGAAGTGTGTGAACGGAGGCGGGGCCGTGGCTTGTGGACAGCCTGACATTCAGACCAAACTCTGCAACATAGCAGTGTGTCCTGGTTAGTACCATCCCCATTTACATTCTACACCCATTTTCTCTCTCTCTCTCTCTCTCTTGGCCTCTCTGTATTCCAGCATGACTTCTTTTTCTCCCAAATCACAAAAACCAAACTGGGTTGGTGTCATAGCTCTTGAATTTACATGCTTATGCATTTATATTTTGTGTTCTTCCGTTGAAGTTCTTGCAGTGACCACGTGTTTCTCTCCTCTGCTAAACTGTGGACTAATGCTGCATTCATGTCACGCCGTGCAGGCTGTAATTACGAGAAGCTGAGTGGGAAAACTGTACATGTCACCCTGCCATAATTCTAAGTATAGGCTGTTGGTTATTTCTGACAGCTATGATATCTTCCACATGATGAAAAGAACTGCATACTTGTCAACAAACTGGCGGCTGAAAAAAAATGGCATCTCTGGCAATTCCATCTAAATAAAATTCCATAGTGACATCAATAGAATCAATTTAGCTAATCATTGTAAACATTGGCCTGCTGAAGATCAGCCTGTCAATGTGAGCATGTTAGCATGCTGATATTAGCATTTAACTCAATGCATCACTGTCACCACAAGTACAGCCTCACTGAGATGCTAACCTGGCTGTTTACGCTTGTTCCTCTTGTTTTTTTAATTTAAATGTCTTTGTCATCTTGACAGTCTGATGTTTTACAAAGGAGCTATATTTGATATTTATTGTTCTTCTCATTCTGCTGACATGGTGTGAATGCAGCATCTCATCTTTCCTGCCTGCTTTTGCTCGCTGCTTTCTTCCTGTATCCTCACCAGAGTTTTCAGTTCCATATTCATCTGTGGTCAGCCATGGGAGTCTTTTCAATCTCTCACTCAGCCATCCTGAAGGATCGTCGCCTAGCAAAGCCTTCAGGGTGGACCTCTATGCTTCTTCCATGGTTGGCTTGGTTTAGATTGCGGAGCAGTCCTGCACTAGAGCTCTTCAGCTACTCCGAGATTACCTGTTAGGCCTAGACCGCGTCAAGAACAGCAATAAGTCACCTGTGCAGCCACATCTAATTCTGGTGTCGAGGGCACCTCTGGACTTTATACCAATCTGGCTCGGACTGTCCAGCTGAAACGTCTTTATCAGGCTGCCATTGGAGTGGAATAGGACAGAGCAGCTATTGAAATAATATCTCAATAGAGCAGATTCTGAAGAAACACTGGGGCAGCTACTATCACAGGGCAGCTTTCTAAACTTAGACGTCAACATATCTCCTGGGATGTAAATACAAACCTCAGTAAATGTGATTTTGTATTTCAAGAAAACCACTTACTTTAAAAGTAAGTATTCATTTCAGTGATTTAATTTTTTGTGTTGGCAGAATACAGATAGTTTCTGCCAAACCTTTGAGTGAGACATTAAAGGATGCACAGACACTAAAACATAAACAGTTTATAACAACATTGGTGGCTTTGTGAATAATAACCTTTTTTTGCCTGAATTGATTTCAGTCAGCGTGAGATTGCGTATGCTTGCATAGTATGTAATCACTCACTGCCTGAGCAATTATCACAGGATAAGTGCTTTTTATTTATTATTGCTAAGGCAAAGAATCCTGTATCCATTTTCCCCTGGTAAATGATAAATAATATTTATGTGAATGCCGCTGGAGCCTGTCTGGTCTAGAGCCTTTTTGTGTTCTCACCCGTCTCTGCATACTAATATTTATTTTTATTTTTTGCTTTTTTTGTTTTCCAAAGCAGGGTTTTTTATAAGGTTAATGTTTAAATAAAACAAAACTGTCCCCATTGCCAGACAAAGAGGCTGCAAAGTTATGTCTCAAAGAGGGAGGAATAGGGAGACGTCGTAATCTAAAGTATGGCCTCCGGGATGTTTTGCCATGCTGTTTTGGGAACAGTGATGGAAAGAGAGTGTTTGGGAGAAAGGGTAGGCTCCTCCTTCAAGGGCCTTAAGGAAATCTGTGGATGTGTGTCTTCATATGGTTTATGTGTTCGTGTATGAGTGTGTGAATCTATCACAACACATTCAATGTGCTTTTGGGAGTTCAAAGGCAATGGTCCTTTGAAATGATGAATGCCAGCATAGGCCTTTTGGCACAGACATCCATGCATAGAGAATAGAGCTTTGATGGATCTTGTCTATGTGTGTGTGTGTATGTATGCATTTTTTAAAATGTGCCTCAGTGATTGGATCTCACTGCAAACCATACACTCAGTCCGAATACTATGCAATACAGCATACTCTATACTGTCTATACCAGTGGTTCTCAAACTTTTTCACACAAGGACCTGTAAACTGACAAATTATACTATGGACCCCCCATTCGATAAGATTTTTTCCCATGGTCACCCATCTGATTTTGCTTTTAGATTACAGAAAGTGTATGACAAAATAGTGTACACTGTATTCTGTCATTGTGTTACTTATGGATGGAAATAAAGTGAAAGTAAATGATTCCCTGGAACCCCCCCCTGAAAAATCGCACTTTAAGAACCACTGAGATTTGAACTCTTCCTATAATTTCTCAAAACTAATCTCTTATGCAGACGTCTTAAACTAACGCATTAACAAACGCAAGCATATGTGGGCAGAGCTGCAAATTTTAACATGACAGCTATTGTATCAAATAAAGACAATCAACAGGCTAAGAACAAAATCAGCAGAATTATCAAACACAAATAATTAATTTGATCATATTAGATCACATCAAGAACTAAAAGGCACTTGCATGTGGGCAGAGAGCTGGCTGGAAATTGCCTTTAAGTTCCTTGATACCTACTTATTTTGCTCACAATATAAACACCAAGTTTATGCACGGATTACTGGTTATGTCCTAAATACAATCAAATGAATAGTTTGTGGCTTTGGCAAGAAAACAGCTTCCTACCGGAGAGCTGCCATGCTGCATTGCTACTTTATTACAATTGGTGTAAATATGCAGTTTGTTTGTTGATATGGCATTTTGATTTCTGGGAAGTGTCTTCACATATACTGTATGTTAAGCTCACTTGAATTTAAAATAATATGCATAAGTTCCTGCCGATGAGAGTTGATGAAACTATAGCAACTAAAAACTTGTCACTTTGATTACTCAGGATCAGACTTGGGAAGTGTCCCTTTCACGCTTAAATTCTAGTTCACAGCTCATTCTGTGTACGTCATCCCCAACACAAGTGTTGGCCCCAGCTAGTTGGAACACTGTACCAGTCACACACTGCGTGATTGACCACATTACCAAGGAGAGTTGGCAATGCCTTCCCACTTGGGAGAAGCAGACAAATACATTTACTGCACTGTACTTCACTTTCTCTGCTACTTAAAGCCCCTGTGTGTAGAGTGTACGCCTCATTTTTCATTCTGAGGCCAAACAAGAACAGTTCTCACTTTGAATTGCTTTTCTTGTTAATATAGTGACAAATAGACAGACTACTATACAGTCCTACAGCGCATACAGAATACCTATGCAGGTAAAAACAGACTTCCCCATTTGACGTGTCATAGTAGCCTATTTAAAATGTATGTGATTAAACATTAGCATTGCCGTAACTTAAATAATTCCAGACATTTTCAAAAATACTTTTTTGCTTTAATTATAAGAGCATACATAGTGTATTTCTTTTTAGCATAGATTAGTCACTAGACACGAATATATGATCTTCACATTAGCTCGGCTTGACTGAAAGTTACTTTAAAGATTTGTAATTCAAAATTTAAAGGTGCACTACTAATTTTTTTATATATTAACAATTGATTAAATGACTATGTGTAATATGAAAGGAATTTCTCTTCCAACTCTGCTCTTCTCTGCTCTGTGGAGTGTTTTATTGTCTTTAAGCTCATTGTTTACTGCCCTCAACCTTTCTGTTTTTGGTTCAGTTCCACTGTTATCAACCACTTCAATATCACCACTTCAAATTATAAGAGTAAAATATGTTTTTTATGTCATGTTTTGCTATGTACTTAAGCTTAATAGTTCAAAATTAACAATAAAAACATATTATAGGAAAAATAGGTCAGAAGTTGCAATTTAATGCTGTAATATGCACTTTTGCATTATTAATGTATTTGTTAAATGTTTGTTTTATTATAATATAATACAATTTATCACATCTTTAGAAAAATTAGAGTAGATACTAGCTGGTTACAGAAATCAAACTTAATGCGGTCTCACTCCACTGTTGCATGACATCCACATACGTGGGCAGTTGGTTTTTGGTGTATAAAAACTATACTATACTATAAATATTAATTTATAAAACATAAACCTGTTAATGATACTTTATTGCATATAGTACTATTTTTTTTCCTTGATTGACCTCTTTGAATAAAAGTTTTTTATAGATATATCTGAGGCATTTAGCACATGGCCATCGGCCATCTTAGATTGATGAGGTCATCAAGCAATCAATATTTGGAAAACAAGAGAGTAACCACTGTGCGTTTTTCTGGTGAGAACGTGCTAAGCGAAAACTAACAATTGTATCAATGCATTTAGTGCCTTTATTCAACAGTATTTAGAAAGAGAAACGGACGTGTTCACAGGTCAGTTGTTACAAAGAGCTCCATTCAAAAATGTGTATCAAGAACAGTGAAGAAATAAGTATTCACTGAGTTTATTTGTCATAAATCTTCATTCACAGTCATGCGTTTCCACACTAGAACACTGTGTTTTTTCTATAACACACATCACCAAAATATTACTAGCTTTGAAGTTGATGAAATACCACAATATTTGACTACACACTATAAATGATTAACATGCCTGTTTTTGATTATCATAATTTTTTTTTTTTGCATTTCGGATATTTTATTTGACAGCTCACTTACTCCAGCAACGCTCCCTTATTAAAGGGGACAGTGTGGGCTTTGATTACACCTGCGCATGTCACCAAGCTTTGGTTAAGCTATTTGGTATTCATGCATCATCTATTTATCTATTGCTGCACAAACGCCAGTTAAGAGTTGAAATGCCTTTCTAATAACACCGAATGTACTCTGTGTGAACTCCTTAAAACAAAGCATGAAAGGAATTGTAATCAGCTATTTCATAACAGATTGAAATATTTAAAATGTCCGTAGAACCATGAAGTGTATTTTGTTTGTTTGTTGCTATTTATGGAAAACCAAATAGCCTCTGTAATTTATTTGTTCTCCGTCCTAACTCATTCTATATTCTATTTACTTCTTTGTCTGTTCTGTATATTTTCTCCTTTGCAACTATCTTTTCCCAAACATCCTTTTTGCCTTCTATCTATATCCTTCTGGACCACTTTATCCTGATTTCCCTGTGTCTCTCAAAATCTTTTTCCTTCCACCTTCATCCATTATCCTGTCTCTCCCTATCTACTTCCATCTCCCTTTCCTTCTTTCTAGTGGAGGGCCAGTGGTTGGAGTGGGGGCCATGGTCGAGATGCAGTGTGACTTGTAACACAGGAACCCAGCAGAGGCAGAGACGCTGCAGTGCATCGGTGCACGGCTGGGCTGAATGTAAGGGCCCCCATCAGGAGAGTAGAGACTGCACCAACCCTTCCTGCAGCGGTAAGCCATACAAATAACTGCTTAGTATTTGCCCTCACATGCTCTCAAACGTTATTATGCAAACAAAACATGCATTATCAAAAGGCATCTGTATGGTCTTCTCTGATCCGTGTTCCCCAGGAAATTGTGGGTTTGGTCCCAGTTTGGCTCGCGAAGTCTGTTTCAACCGGGACCCCGGAGGACAAAAATACTAGCGTGTTGTAATGAGCCTGGGCCCCAGAATGGGCTCATATTGACTTAATTTGGGTACCACACTAAAAAATAGAAAAAAGCTTAGAAACTGCTGCTTTAGAGTTGTAATCTAAATTTACTCTCCATCAACAAATCCCATTTCTTCTTCACCTTACATGCCACTCTCGTTCCCTCCAATACTTCCTCCCCGCTCCCTAATGATCACAGGCGGTGCTTTGCTCCTGTTCTAGGTGGAGGTAACTGGGGCAGCTGGAACCACTGGAGTCTCTGCAGTAAGACATGTGACTCCGGTTGGCAGCGTCGCTTCAGGATGTGCGAGGGCACCGGAATACAGGGCTACCCCTGCGATGGCTCGGGAGAGGAGGTCCGGTCTTGTAACGAGAAAAAATGCCCTGGTCAGTGACTCTGTGAATGCATGTTTGTGTGTGAGCTGAGAAAATAAGGGAGAGCCACAGTATACTGTATATTGTTCATGCTTGAAAGCACTTTTTGCCTTAGACATTTTTTTCTGAATGGCTCTTATATGCATGCCTCTCCTAGTGGATCCCTGATAGAGACAAAAAAGTGTGTGTATCTGTCTGTGTGCCTGATTTGCATATGCACAGTATTTGTCAGGCAGAATGGAAGTGATTCCCAGTGGTTCGCACCACAGCCAAAGGCTTCTATAACAAATTCCAAACTGTGCTCTTCTCAACTATTATCTGTCTCTTGTCTATCTTCCTGTCAAACCACATACTCATCCATCTTTACCTCTTCATTGATTTTGAATATCCTTGCCTTGTGGTGTTTTCCTTTAATCTTCTCTGTCTGTCTACACCATTGCTCCTTATATTGCTCCTCTTTAACATCGTTTCCATTGCACTAATCTCACTCTTGCGTCCTTTCTGTGGTACTCTGCCCAGTAGAGGGTGAGATGTTCAATGTCTGAGTGTCAGCCCCTGCAGGAAACACTGTGGTTCAATAAGCACGCCTCTTGACTGAAGCTGTGCGCGCACGTGTGAATATGCAAGTGTATTTTCTTTACAAGCCTGAATGCCACATGTGTACGTGCTTGCATTGAGCTCTGACTGGCTACAAATGATAAACTTTAGAGTGCAGGCTCCACCATGACCCCTCGGTTTTGAGTAGCTCTCAAAACTCTGACACAAGATGAGGATCCTGTCTGTTGGCATTGCAGGGGAACATCATATCATATTTTCTCTCTTTCTGCATTTCTCTCTCTCTTCGCTCTTCGTCCCTCTTCATCTCTCTGCATCGCCAACACTCGTCTGCCCCCTCGGAATATCTTCAGAGCGCTCTCCCCTGTTTTTTCATCAGGGCTATGAAAGAGAGGGAGGGGGGAAAACAGATGAATAAAGAGAGGGGGTAAGATGAAGAGGGAATGAGATACTGCACTGAGGCAGTGACACTGACAGAGAGCACTGAGCAGTGTACAAGGGAATAAGATTGGGAGCTGCTGCAGGAGAACATTGATTTGAATCTTGTTTTTTGTGCTTTTCTGTCTCCCTTTTTTTCGCTGGCTGTGTATGTGTCTGTGGGAGTGTGCGTGCGTGGAGATTTTTCTTTTTCTGTGTGCCTGCTAGACTTCATTTCACTTTTTCTGTGTCTTTCTACAGCTCCTCATGAGATATGTAAAGACGAGCATCTTCTCTCTATGTCATGGAAAAGAGCCTCAGCTGGAGAAACTGTCTACAACAAATGTCCAACTAACGCCACTGGTTAGTCACATGATATGCTTTAACAAATATCTGTTAGCTGTTAGCATACAGTATTTCAATCAAGCTTTGTGAATTTTTGATTAAGTTTGGCCTGGAGTTCTTTGTGTAAATCAAAGGTGTTACACAGTAGGGGAGACCGGGTATGGTTGTAACACTTTTTGCTTCAGCAACTCTAACTAGCTGAATTTTTTAGCTAGAATTCTCAAACTTTTATCAGTTGATGTCAAATACATGCTGTTCCTTTGTAACCCCCAGCATGTGTTACAACCTACCCCACTACTGGGGTAGGTTGTAACACATGCTGGGGTAAGTTGTAAAAAGTAGACAAAAGAAGCAAAAATAGATTCCACACCAAATTAACTGCTTCAAAAACAGGTATAGTGAAATAAAAGGACAATTCTCTCTGTCTGTAAGAGACTATGTCTGATTGACTCACGTGTGTGTGTGTGTGTGTGTGTGCGTTTAGGTGTGTGCGTGTGTGTGTGTTTACATAAATTTGTCCACTAGAACAAACTTACTTAACAGTACAATTAATAAACACTACTACAATGTACCTAATTAAAGACAACCTTTGTATATGTTTAGTCTGTGTGTGTCCATGTGTGTATATTCGTATACCAGCCATTGTTCAGCTAGCTGGATTAGGATAGTGGTTTGAAATTAGCAGGAGAAAAATGCATCACATGTAGTTTTTGGTGGCCTGTCCCTGTCTGGAGCTGTTCACATAAATGTCCCCGTTTTTAACTGTGTGTTAATCATAGACTGTAAAAGGTGTTGACAGACCTGAAAACAGATTTTACGTGGCTGGGCAGCAGAGTAGACAGGTGTCGTGCTGAAAAGTGATCGTCCGCCGAAAACTGAATGCTGTCTGCGGGAGCGCACGCTGCACGTAACGTTATCGCTCAGTATCTTTACAACTACAGCTGCTTTTATCTGGATCAAACAGACATAATGTGCAAATAAACATCACTTTATGTCCATGGTAATAGCAAAGGTATGTCTTTAGGCAATAATAGAAGCCTGTAGTTGCCCATAGAATATGTGTTTGGTAGGCGTATATGTCTAATATCCTTGTTTACATTTGGAAAACTGAATGTAGCTTTAAATTAACTTGACTTACTGCTGAGGTATATATAAAATAAAGACATGATCTCTTTTGCAATTATACTTATGACTCTACTTTATTTAACTTGCTGTGTACCAGCCAATCCAGTCCTTTTTACCTGTTAAAATACCTTTAAATGGCTAAAACAACCAATGTAATGCAGTATTCCACTTGCCAGAAAGTGATTGCAGCCTCTGCTTGACTTAAAGGTAGTTTCTGCCTCAAAATGTCTTGATTTCATTCAGAAGAGTTATATTTGACAGATTATAAAACTGAAATTTTCCCCTTTTTTATTTCACATCTAAGAACATTATATTTCATAAATGACATTGAACCACTGAACCAAATATGTCCCTGGTTTTCACTTCAGAATTCTGGTCACCGTTGCCTAAGAAACTACATTTTAATCTCAAATAAGTCATACACTTTTATCTGCAGTAGTATACTAAAGAAAATATAGTCTTAGACTTACCTCAAAATCAGTTTTTTCTCTATATATTCTGAATGTGCCTCTTCCCAGCCCTGACCACCACCATCGGGAGGAAGTAGGTAAATTATGGTAACTGAAATGATCTCATGATTCCTATCTTTTTTCTAATTGGTGGAATTGGTGTTGTTACAACCATACACGATCGCCCCTACAAATGTGACTTCAACTGTTGTTCATAAGCAACAGTCATAAGTTGACATTGGATAATTTGTTTGTGAGACCATGAATGTATGTTAGCTACCAGAAGTTAACATAAGCAATGCTAGCTCAAGAGAAGTGAGAGAAGGAAATAATATTCACAAACAACTAATGCTTTTAGTTGCTAAACAACAGGAAATCCAAATGAAAAACAGTAGCAACACAACTTTGTTAGCCTCATGAATGTACGTGTACCTCATAGTTAGTTAATTAACAGAAGAAAAAAAAACATAAACAAAAGTCCAGTAAGCATCAAAAACGTAAAACAAGAAAGAGTTTGTCAGCTCCATGAGTGCCATGAGTGAACGTTACCACTTGGTAATTATCTTGAGCAGAGCTAGCAAAAGGGAGAGAAATAAAGAATACACAGAAACCTAAAAATAGTCAATGAAAACTCCAAGAACAAAACATACTGCTTCTAAAGTTTGACTTCTAAGTTACCTTTGGGAAATATACTGTGATAAAAGCACAGCATTTATATTATTAATACCAAAGAAAATATTGTAAAAGAGATACAATTATAAGCTAGATACTAAATTAGTTTACTGTCTTTGTTTCAAAATTCCATGTGCTCCTATGTCTGGAACAAATTGATGCTCAGATTGATTTAAATGCTGAAACTGATGTAGCTCATCACAACTGTTTGTTTTTTGTTTTCTTTTACCATTTTGGTGTACAGAGGCAGTTATAATATTCCCAACGAATGCATCATCCATCATCTAGCTTTAATTAGTGCAGCAGACATGTCCTGCTTGAATGCAGATGAACCATATTTGTGTATTGCTTACAACGGTAATGTTAAGCTAAACCGTAGAGTTTCTCAAACAGCTTGCTGCCAGACCTTTTCTTTTAACTTCCAAAAGCAGAAACTAGAACAACCCCTGATTTATTCATTTTTTCTTCTTCAAAATTTAAGCCAAGAGCAGATGTGGTTCAGAACGCCTATAATATAAACGTGTTTTTACATCTTTCAAGCTATGACATTGGCTCCCACTTCAAAACATGCCTGCATGTATCTGGTAGACTGCCAGTTAAACATTGTAGCTTAAAGAACATTACATTTAAAGTAAATCAGTGTATTACATTTAATTAACTGAGACATTTTACAGTTTATTTATGTCAACCTATTACTCATAAAAAGGCAGAGCCAGGTTTCAGCAAGTGCATATTTTTTTGGCAGGGGAAAAGGTTTTGTCTCAGTAAAGTATTTTGGCAGCCTTCACAAGTTTATCTGCTGGCTGGCAGGTTAAAACAGCCAGCAGGTGTGAGCTGCCAAACACTGTGAAACTGCTACAAATGAAATATTTGATCGTTGTAACTATCCTAAACACTATTGTACTCCAAGAAAAGGCAAATTCACAAAATTGACCTTTGTTGTTATTTTTCCACAAGTGACAATGTTATAAATGTGCTGTGATTTCCCTATTTCTAGTAAAACTCGTCAAGCAGACACCCTGACCTTAATGTTGTGATAAATGGGAATACCAGTTTTAGGTTTCAAGCAAGATATTTATATATTTTCTTATGTAGTATGAAAACCTTTCTCCATTTCTGCATCATGTTTATCATACTTACGCACAACAGAAGGTTCTTTGCCCTTAAATGGACATCATATTAACAGTAATAGATTATGATGTGTTTTTTTGGACAGGTTTAATTTCTAAATTAAATTTTTTCTCTGTAAAGCATTTGTCTCTCTGTCTCTCTTTCTAGGATCTGCTAGTCGTCGTTGCATGCTGGACAATAATGGAGTTGCTTTCTGGGGTCCTCCGAGCTTCGCCAGATGCATCTCACTTGAATATAGATATTTACATTTATCTGTAAGTTCCCCTTTAAGAAATAAGTATTCCCATACTGAGAAACTCTTTCTACAAATGCATTTTTCATCATGTTCACCAAGAAGAAAAAAATATGTGTATATTCTTCCAGTTTACATAATTTGAAGCAGTTTGTTGCAGTTTCATAACTCACCTTCATCAAACCTGTTTGTCTTATTAGTTAATTTATGAGAAAGTGAAGCTGCAGTCAGTTTTTTATTCTCGTGCTGAATTTCCTCCTTTCTTCACCCATCATGTACCTCTGTTCAACTTTTTTTTTTAAGTTTACTCAAATAGAAGTGTCTTTACTAACTAATACTGCCGGTATCTCTAATTAGCTTTTCCAGAGCTTTGCGCTCACACTTATCAATTGATGAACATAGCTAATGAATGTGTTCATCAGCTAGACTGTTTTGCTGCTCTGTGAACTTCAACCTTTTCCATCTCCTCGATGATGGCAGAAGGAGATGGGGGTCAGGGATTTTACGTGACAGAGCTGATTGCACTGTTAGCTTCTGTTCCAACCTTTCATTAACACCAGGAGTCAATAATTAATTTTCTGTGATTACTGTTATCTTCTGTTCTTCCAGGCTCTGTCTCTCTTTCTCTCTCTCTCTCTCTCTCTCTCTCTGCATTGCACATACACAATCTGGCTTTCTGCATCTCTTTCTCTGAAGTGATGAGCGTGCTGCTACGGCCTCTTTTTGTTTGCCTATTTTAAGTTCAAATACAAAAATCCAACTGTGTACATATATACTCCTGTCTTGAAACATCCCTCTCGGCACACATCTAAAACATTCCTTGTCACATGACAGCATTGTGTGACACTGTTTTTGTTGATTTCTACGGGGAAAAAAAACACAATCTTCGGTTTGTTTGGTCTTGCTCTTTGTGACATTTTCACCAGCTGAACACAATGGCCATGCATTTAATCATCTTGACTGTAACCAGCAGAGGGGAAACCATAGACTGTTCTCACTTTTTGTATCTTTCTACACATTGTAGTTACGAGAGCATCTCGCGAAGGGTCAGAGGACCCTGGCTGGGGAGGGCATGTCTCAGATCGTAAGGAGTCTCCTGGAGCTCTTGCAGAGGAGGAGCTACTACAGTGGCGACCTTCTCTTTTCCACGGAGATTCTGCGAAATGTGACGGACACCTTCAAAAGAGCAACCTACATCCCAGCTCCCGACGACGTGCAGGTATGGAGAGCCTCCTCTTGAAGCCTCAAGTCATAAACCTTACAAAACATGCAGTCACAGATGCACTCTCACACGCAGACACACTCATAACACTCCAAATTTATTCAATGTAGGAGCTCCACTTTCTACGGCACGTGGGTGTGCATAACAATGAACTACAGCTGCACAGTTGCTATAGCCTCAAAGGGGATTTTTTTTGCAGCGTTTTTCTCTTTTCACCGCCTGTAAGAGAGCAAAATGCTCCTGTCTCAGGCAGTCATTTGACAGACGTTATTTTATGTTTTACAATATGTCTATGTACAGAAGACTACTGTTCTAGACACTTTAGCGTGCAACACATACAAACAAGATAATAAAATCTAATTGACTACTTCTTCTTCTTGTGTCTAGAAATTCTTCCAGATAGTCAGCCATATGTTGGACATGGAAAATCTAGAAAAATGGGAAGACGCTCACCAGGTAAAGCCTTGTATCTTTGTTGCATCACTGTATGTGTGCATCTGTACACCTTATCCTACTACGGTACAAACTTTCCTAAATGTGTGTGTGGTTAAGTACTTTATTGAGTGTGCGTACATGAAATTGTGTGTAAAAGGTAATGTGGGTGTGACCACACCCCACATTACCTTTTCATTAGAGTCATAAATACCCACCTGTTTACTAAAAACAGTGGCAACCTATTAAGTATACCAGGTGCGTGTGTGTTTTTGTGTGTGACCCAGCTTGATGCCCTTGAGTCAAGGTGCGTCTACTTGCCACCTGGACACAATAAACAAGCAGCCTAATATGATATTATATCCCACGTGGTTACAGTTTATTGCTGTGGAACACATTCAGTGGTCTAGATAACGCAATGAATAAAAATGTGTCAGTGTGTGAGACATGTCTCATAGAAAGTTGGCCATGGATTATAATTATGATGACATAATGATTGAAGCCCACCTCTCTTTTTCATCCCTCTATCCACAGGTCGCTCCCGGTGCTGCTCTGCTGATGAGGATATTAGAAGATTTCATTCACCTCATCGGAGAGTCCCAGAAGCCTTTCCAGAGTTTCCTTGTGGTTACCAACAACCTCAGTACGTGTCACATAGTGCTGTCACATGACAAGGCATGACAGAGACAGATACAAAATAACTATAAACCAATCTCAATGTTCAAAGACATTCACTTATGTAGATGAACTTGTGATTTATCATGGTGCTGAGATTTTTTTAAGATGTCTTTAAAATGAATTTATGACTTTTTTTAGATGGGCATTTGTTGCACTGTTTTCATCGGGTTTTGCTCACCTTATCTTCAGCAGTTTTCTTAGTTTAAGCCCCAATTTTGCACTGCAGTGAGTTTTAAATGTTTTTTGGTATCTCTTGTTTGTGCAGTGATAACCATCCAGCGAGAGCCGGTGTCAGCAGTTTCCAGTGATATAAACTTCCCCATGAAGGGCCGGAGAGGGATGAAGGACTGGGCCAGAACAGCAGAGGACAAGCTCTACATCCCTAAAGAGGTCTTCACCATCCAGACTGAAGGTAGGAGACCTAAGACAGATACTGCCCACTGCCCACTGCCCAGGGTTTGTCACAATTTTGGGCTTTTTGGTACCACTCAGTCTGTTGGACGGTCATCCCATGCACTGAAGATTAAACGCAAGACCAAGCAAGACCCTTGTTTCAAGGGTTTTTCTGGATACAATAATGATAGTTGGAAGAATCAACACACAAAAAATGTTCTCACCCTCATTACCAACATGAGGCTGATTATCTTTAGAACAAAACAGCAGTTCCAGAATTCTCTCTTAGGTCAGGTTTGAGGACTAAGCTGAATATGGATCTGTTTTAGTTGTTATCCTCACTCTCGGTCTTGAATATTAGAAACACAAGGACCTGATCTCACCCCACTCAACCCTCTCTTTCAGCCAAGGTCAGACCAAAAAGTTATCCCAGTGTGAATTCACAAATTCAGAGATGTGTCTTGTGGAAGCAGATAGAAGGCTTTTCAAGGACGTCAGAGGGTAATGCTGAGAGGGATTTGGACTGTAAAGAGGCCCAGGAGGGCCTCTCAAGAAGATGCAGGTCTTTCATCTGTGAAGAAGTGTGCCACATGCTCTTGAGAACATCACATCCTCAAGCAATTTTGAAAGATGTCTCTCCGCTTTTAGTGATACAAGAAAGTTAACTGTTGTGAATTTGTTTTCCCCCATGTCCCCATTTCAAGTAAGGCCAAAAAACAAGCAAAATGATTGTCCAAATGCACAGCAAGACACAAAGGTGGAGGAGAATATGATGACAAAGAAGACATAGGAGCTCAAGTTGTAAAGGGGAAACAAGGGACTTAAAAGAGTGGGAAGAAGCAGTTTATATTAGATAAGAGAATAACTGTGGCAGATGCGATCCACTACCAACGGAGGCAAAGGTCACATCCCACAGGAAATTACACTACCAGACTTCCTGTCTGGCACCCTGTCCCCTGCCCAAATTAGAGTTCAGAGAAGCTGCGGTCCGAGAGAGCAGAGCTGTCTCTGACCTCTCTGAATCGCGCTGATGACACAGACTCTTTGACTGACGTTCAAGACATCATGAAGGCTAACCTCAGGGCACCTCCCCTCAACTCACCTACCCTCTCTGTCTCTTTATTATGCACAGTGTATTATGAGTGAGGGTTGTTTTGCTCAAACTGTTTTTCCAGATTTTATGGAACTGCAGATTCCTATATCTTAAAGGGTGACTGCAACTGAAGACAAAAGGGTGATAGCTAGAGCTTTTTTAATGCGATGTTGTCTTCTTTCTTATCCTCCGTTCATCAGGCCTGCCTGTTTTACTTTCCTGCTTTTATGTTTTTATCCTCCATCTTGCTTTTTTAGTCCATTGTCCTCATAGTTTGTGGTGGTGAATGTTTTGTCTCTTGCGGTGCTTGCAGTGCAATAAAAGTGACCAGCTGCATCATATTCAGCACATGACATAAGCATATGCTATTTAGAAAATTGTTTCATCCAAACTGCATATAGCCTTATGAGTTTGGACATTGTTAGTACTCTTTGCCCCTGTGGGAACTCTGCCTCTTCCCATTGGCAATCCATGAGTTGAGGTCTTCAGTTGATTGCTATCAGTTTGGTTGGTTCATTTACCCCATAATGAAAGCCTATCTCAGATGGATAGCTTAAACATGCTCATAAAGGCTCATTGGCATCTTTGTGAGTGCATGTGCACACACAGTTGCACATGCACACAGCCAATTGATAGGTTCATGAATCGCTTCACTGGGCAGAGGCTGGGGGCCGTTCTTCACTGATTTTCGAGGTGACAAACTCCCTCTCTTCCGCCACTGTCTCTCACTTTCTCTCGCAAACACACATGCAGGCACTCACTCTGTCTTGCAGCCATGCGCGCACACATACATCCAAAAATACAAGCCAGCAATGACTTCATGTTTCAAATACACCATTGCTGATACGTGCATTTGGTATAATGTACCATTAACTTTTAAATATTACTCAAGCAAGACACCAACCAAATGAGCTCTTCTCTCTTATAGTGTGAGACTTCCTTATATACAGTTTTAACTGTAACTGTGGTGAGTTTCAAAAATCACCAGTAAGCTGAAAATTTGACGATTTTGGGATGAGATAAAATAAATAAGCCAATTTGTTCTTTTGATGAGTGTGAGATGAGAATATTGATACCACTCTCATCATGTGTATAAATAAATGTATAGGCCTATATTGAAAATAAACATGTTCTTTTTGGTTATTCTTTTTTAATTGGTTTAACAAAAGGTGGAACATACATACATGCCAAGCCAATAGAGTGGAATTATCTGTTATTATGTTCTATATGTGTAGCATGATGGGACTAAAAACTTTAATTTCATTCTACAACCTTGTGTTGCATAGTGATTAATAAATTACCTTGTTCACTGATGTCTGTGCATTAAGTACGGAGCTGCGACCAGGAGATGAATAGCCTTGCTTAGCTTAAAAACTGGAGGCAGGGGGAGCTAATAACTGATACACTCGTACGGTATCTCATTTGTTTATCTATATACAAAAAGAACTGTAAGAATGACTATTTGGAATTTGGCAGCCTCAAACTGACAAGACATGACGTCAAGAAGTCAGTTCTACAGTAGCTACAGTGTGTTAATAAGTTAGCCTCGGACGTGTTGGTAGGCGTGTTTTTTTAACTTTGGACAGAGCCTGGCAATTTATCCCTGCTTCCCATCTAGCTAAACTAAGCTAATAACCTCCTAGCTCCAGCTCCACACGTAACACACAGACAAGTGCTAGTGATCCTCTCATTTTCCTCTTGGCAAAAAAGTAAACAAATACATAAGACATTTTCTCAAAATGGCTAATTCTCCAGGAATAAACAGCTTGACCAGTTTAGAATTAAAATGTTATAATGTTATAAATTAAAGGTTATATAGGACAATTTAGTGCTAATAATAAAAATCACTGACTCTAAAAAGGTTGCACAGCAGTCAATTAATGTTTCTGAGCTTGAGCACATTAGCCTGTCAGTCACTTCAACTGGGCAAAAGCAAAGCTATTCTACAGTACTTTAACTTCTTAACATTTTCAGTGCTGTGTACTAACCAAGAAGGAATGAAGAGAGTAACTCACATGTAACTATATGGATGGAGCTTTTGATCTTTGATTAAAACCATAAATTATAGCCTCAAAAATCCAAACATAACTTTCCCTGACGAATGGCACATTAAAGTTCACAGCTGGTGACTGGTGGATTACAGCTGACCACCAATCATTTAGATGTTCAGCAAGCGAAGACTGACGAAAAGTCTGTTCATGGGAAATTAGAGTTTTGTGATTGAGTGCTTTTGTGGTATTAATCATCCTCAAGCATAGGAGTGCCACCCCCTCACACACTGATTTACCATTTACCCACAATACACTGACTTTCTCATTTGCATGCCTTTGCAGACACTGTCCAATTAGGATCCATCACACTCACAGGCTTTCTCATGCTGACTTTGATCTGTTTTTTTGCCTCCTCACAGTCTCACAATGGCTTTTTTCCCCCCACTGCCGAGATCTTTTTGTCTCTTCCTCTTTCTTTCCTCATCTGTCTTGCATAGCTACCTCTCTTCATGAGTATTACCTCTTAGGCCACAGGCAGACAGACAGATTTTGGATGAGTCACCCAATACGTCTGATACCATCAGCCCCCTCTGTCTCCTCCTGTTTCTGTCTCTGTGCAGATAGTCCTCCATTTCTTCTCAGCCTAAAAGGGCAAAGTAGGGAGTGGCATCTCTCAACATGAACTCTTCCCCTCTTACTTTTCCTCTCTGCTTCCTTCCGCCTCCATCACTTGAGACAAAGTGACATTTACAGAGGGACACAATGTCCATCTCCTTGGGAAACCCTGCTCTTTTTGGTGAAAGAACACAGAAAGGAGTGATGGAAGGCAAGGGGCTATAAAAGACTGCTGAGAATTGTGGGAAAGTTGAAGAGTGGGTTGGAGAGTGGCAATAACAACAGAGGAGGAGGATGAGAGGGGCGAGAAGGGAAGAAAAGGGATTTGAAAGGAGGGAAAAAGAGAGAACATTGAAGAGAGGGACATTGTGTAAAGATGATGTGGACACTTTGACTTTATTGAAATAATCGTTCAGCTGTCAAATCAGGCTTCTGGTGCTGCAATTAACTTTTTCATGTAGTCAACTGAGCATTTGTCAGCAACAGCTGAAGAATAAATATAAATTAAGGTGAAATTGCAAGTTGATGAAACAGGTAAAATAGGTGCTTAATTGTTTCACGAACAAATAGATGTTTGCTTTTAGTTCATTTAAACCCAGTGATCAGTGCAGGTTAGCTCAAATCAATCACACATAACACTCCAGTCTTTAATTTAAATGTCAGATTAGCAGGCTCAATATTGTATTGAGAAATTTGGGTTTTTAAATCTTAAACTTCTTTTAAATACCCTTCCCCTCAACATACCACCATATTTGCTACAATGACCCATTTATCAGCCGCAAGACTTTCTCAAGTCTTTTTTTGTTGTTGTTGTTGTTTTTTAAAAAAAAATGGTAAATATGAATAGGTTTCTGGACGTCTTCAGCAGTACTTTTTGTCCAAAAATATGGGGCATACAAAATAAATGAAATGAAGGATAGATGGCTTCATGTTTAATTTGTGAAGTGTTTTAGGCAAACCATGGCATGTATTTGGGCTGACCTGTTGCAAAATTGTGTGTGTTTCAGAGACAGAGGCAGAATCACTGACAACCATGTACTATGTCATCGGAGCCATATTGTACAGGACGTTGGGCGTCATCCTACCTGCACCAAAGTGAGTTCTTCATGTGATCCACTAATTGGTCTTACATTTTCAAGCTACTGAACTATAGCTCACCCTCTACTCTGTTCCCTGTCCTTTCTTTTACCTTTCCACATCTCTTTTTTCCCCAATACTTACTCTGACAACATGTCATCTCCCTTGTATTTTTTTTCTTAGTTTCCATTCCCACTACCTTTCTATTCCTGTGCCCTTTCTTGTTTTGTGTCTTCTCTCTATCTAATTCCGTCTTTGTTGGTCTTATAGTGTCTCTACTGGTTCTTTTCTCTTCTTGTGTCTGCTTAGTTATCAGAACATTTCCCTAGATGTTTTCCCCTTTCTTTTGCGTTGTCATTGTGAAGTGTGCTGTGGGCTTCGAATGGGTGTGGGTCTAATGGGTCCTGAAACTTGCGTAAAACTTGCAACAATAGAAGTTAAGAGACATCAGGGGGTTGTCAAAAGGCCACTGTGATATGGTGCTGGCCCTGGGCCCTTTTATTCAGGTCAGTGCTCTTAGTTGTAGATGAGCTGGATCTGTTAAAACCCTTTTCTCCCTGTAGCTCTACTGAATGCTAATCGGGCCAGTGTTCTGTTTTAACTTAGGCGCCAGCTCTGGCTTTCTCCCTTTCTCATTTTTATTTATGTTTTTTTATGTATTTATTTTTGCAAGCACACCGAAAAACCATCAAAAGCACGGCAGAGCATTGGGTGTGTATGTCTGTTTCTGGGCGTGTTTGGATGTATGCATGTGTCTGTGTGTATGACAAACAGCAGAAGAAAGCAACTCACCAGCATATTCCACTTTTCTTTCTCATCATTGCACAAAACAGAGAGAATATAAGCCAAACTTTAATGTGCAGTAAAATTCTTACTTACTTCTTCTGGCTCTCTTGTGTGTGTGTGTGATTGTGCGTGTCTTTGCAGACCCCCTGCAGTGATCAACTCCAAGATCCTGACAGTGACAGTACGGCCAGAACCGCAACCCAGCGAGCCCATGGTGGTGGTGGAGCTGTCTCCACTTATCAATGTAAGTTGTTTTTTTATTTAACTCTCATTTCCCCCAGATATTAGAGCCGAACTGTTTTCATGTGTTGCAATGCAATACAAAACACTGCCGATTGGTTTAGATCATTTTAACAGTAGAGAACATTACTTTTTCATTCCCATTATCTAAACTTTCCCAACCATAGGATTTAGTTCAACTGAGTGTGTAACACTTAGTTTCCTAGCTTCATCAAAGAGTGTTGCAACAAAAATGTTAATTATTCCATATGAGGCACTTTCCAATGCAAGGGTTAGCATTTTTTTAATATACTTGTATATTGAGCAAAGCTTTGGCCGAGAAAATAAATTTGTTTAAGACTTTAAAGGATTTTTTCCCCCTCCCAGCTGACCCATGATTCCTGAGTTCAGATGAAAGCGAAAGTGCTGCATGCTATAAAGTGCCATAGTGCTCGCTGAATTGCCAGAATAGATGCAGACCTTTTTGACTTCCTTATATCGCAGTGTCTCCTGGTACCTATTGAGTTTATATTACAGTGGAGTGTGTTATTATAAACGACTCGTGGGGTGTCTTCAGTGGAAAGGACTAAGTGCAAGTTTAATGAGAGGCACTCTTATCAACCTCAATAAGATGGGGGTTTCATTAGCCATTCTTGTGTGCAAAGGTGGGCACAGTTTTGAAAAATAATGATGAATATTTAATAGTCTCTAGACAACACAAACACACACACACACATACATATAGTATACAGACACATACTAAAATCTTCCAATGAAATCAGCCTCTTTTTGTGCCAACCAGGACCAGAGGGTCAAAATGTAGCACAGTGTTTCATTACAAAGACTTTGTATTCATTCTCCATCTACTGCCACTTCATTTCCCTGCTTTAAACCAGTGATTCATTGCTTAATTATGGCATTTCCTTTATATACCTCTGTCTTTTATCTTGCTATTATTCCACCTTTTAACACTTTTGGGAAAGCAGGGGCACTGCAGGTTGCACAGCCTATGTCTAGAGGATGATGTCTTAATGCTGATCCTAGCGTGCTGCTCTGGACTACTAACCAGAGGCTCTTGAGGACAGACACTTCTCCTGCGCACAGTACAGGACAGGACAATGTTTGGAGGGCAAATGCACATATGCATACCTTAGATCGGTGTTTCTGATTGCATTTTCATTCTGCTTAAAGGTCTACTCCAGCTATTTATTCTTGCACTTTTCTGACATTTGGAGATTCACAAGAGATTTTAAAAGAGATGATGAAAATCAATCCTGACTTTCAGTCCCTTCATGTGGACAAGCGCTAGGAATGCTCAATCATACATTTCACATAAATCAACTGGATATTACAACTACAGCACAACTACACTCTAGAGGAATAGTATTTGATTGAATAAACTAATGTAGACAATTAGTACTACTTTGATACATTAATACATCTCTGCAAAATAACCAAAACTGAAATGCAGAAGATACAAGTGATTAGCATAACATTAATTTAGTTTCATTTGAAATGCAACCAGTGCCCTTGGTCTTAGACATATCCAGAATTGCTAACCAAAATTGTAATATTAAAGCTGTTTCAACATTTTGGAAAATAAATATATAGCTAACTGGCTGCTGGCTGTAGTTTCTTATTCAATGGACAAATATCTCTCTATCTAAAGATTGTCACATGTCTTTTATGGTGAGTGAGAAGCAGGAAGCCAGAACACTCTTTGTTCTTACAGTAGAGTAGAGTAGAACAGATGCCAGGTGTTACCCCACACCCCATCCTCCAGCTGTCCAGACTTTTCAATCATAAAAGGCAGCTCTGGTTAGCTTTACAAACACCAGCCATACGCCTTTCTGGTAATTTCACTGTAATCTAGTTTGCTTTCATCAGTCAAAATGCATCATCCGGGTTGCTCCATTTCATTTTGTAACTCTGCAATCTTTGACATGAAGTGAAAGGCTTTGAAGGCTGCCTGAACCAGTGTGGTCTTGTTCTATTACAGTAGCTCATTTTGTGTGATTAGCTTACCATGTTCACAATATGCATGAACCATTTTACCAGCAAATGGCTACCACGGGGTGGTTGTGAATACATTGTAGGAAATCGCTGTTCCTTTTGAGAGAAAAAGAAGTCAGAGCTGTTAAGGTAGACGCCGTTATTACCATAAATGTGGCTCTTAGAAGCAGACGCACGTTGCTTCTTTTGAGAGGCATCAGTTGAGCAGACGCTGTCATTATGCGACGTATCGGCACTAAAGAGGAAGCAGACATTGTGGGAGTACACTGGGTGTCACTCCCGCTGTGGCGTACAGTCAGGCGCGATGCCCGCTGATTGATAGTTGAATGCTAAGAGAGTCGGGCCATGCTAATGCATCTAAAGTCGGTGACGGCGGCCGTCTGCGTACGAAGCAGAACAAAGCGTTGTCATCCATCAATCTGTGTCGCCAAGCCTCTGATCCTGTGTTTATAAATGTTGCATCATCCCGTCCTCTCTAGTCCAGCCATGCAGAGACCTGAGGACTCACTGATTTGTGGGAGATCAGTTATGAACTGTTCAGAGATGGTGACCTTGCTTTTAAAGAGATAAATACTGATAGTGGAGGCTCAAATGTGCATCTCCTACTTCTCTTCTTTTTGCTCATTTAAAACACATTTGATATTCAGAAAACATTCAGTTTGCTCTTCACTTAAGAAGAGGCAATTATTACAAATGTTTTTTAAGCTGTAGTGAGTGTACTTACAGTGGACATGGTCTTTTTTTGTAATGGGCAGAGCTGTGTTGCTGTGGAATTACTGCTATAATCCCCTTTACCATAAGGGGGAGCTCAAAGGCAAAGTGCTTAATGCAAGACTCAGGAAGGACCAACAGAATGGTACAGAGAGGGATCCATTTTCCTCTGTATCAGCCCAGTGGAAGAATGACATGTGGAGACCTGATGTGGTAACACACCAGTCCTACTCTGAAGGACCCATAATGTGTAATGGCCAGTTGTTTCTCTCAGACTGGGGTTGTTTTTTTAGCTCAAAGACACAAACGTCCAATGCTTTTGATTCAGGAATGAATGTAAGAACAGAATCCCTGATCCACACCCACAAAGTTCACCTAAAACCAATCGCAATCCAATCCTAAATGAAGCACGCAGGCTGAAAGGGCACAATGCACAGATCACTGGTGGAACAAGTTGGGATGAGTCAGTTAAAGACATCGATCCGCTGATTGATTCACTGATTGAGTCATAGGGAGCCTTCCCTCGCCACCACACATGACTGAGCTTTGATAACCAGATGATTCACCTGCCTTTCGAGCCCCGGCGATTGGCTTTTGGCTCCAGTGAGTCGATGGATTAAGAGCGAGCTGATGGCAAATAACCGGTGTTTACCCCGTCCTGAGGGGTTGTGTGATAAAGAAAATGTATGTGTGTGTGTGTGTGTGTGTGTGTGTGTGTGTGTGTGTGTTAACATGTTTTGAATCAATAGAATGCATTTGAGGATGTTCAGAGATAAGGGAAGTATCATCATTTATGAAGTACGTTGCTTGACTTTAGCCACACTCTGAAAGGGCCATTTCTTCACAATAAGTACTTGTTCCCCTTAAGTAAATTTTACTACATCATAGTTATTTACTTTTACTTTACTACTTCCCACTGTGATTGTACTTAAGTAAAGAATCTGAATGCTTTTCCACTACTGGATGTTAATGACCCCAACTTGCTGTGTATTATAGTCCATGAAATGGCTTTTCTTTTCTTTTTGTCTCTTAACTCTCTCAATTCATTGCTCACACACCTTCTCTCTTTTTGCAGCAGCAGCAGCTATTCGTTCCTCTGTCCTCTGACAATGACTCTTTCTCCATCCCTCCCTCCCGCCGTCTGTCTCAATCCTTCTCTTTCATTGTCTGTTTACCTCTCTCCATCGCCCATGCAGCATCACTCTTTCTCCTCTGGCAACGAGCTATTCTGTCTTCTCTCTGCCTCCCCCTCTCACTCATCCCCTCGACTGGCAATAACAGCTTTTCTTTCTCCCCCCCTTTCCCCCTTGTATCTTGCAGGGTACATCGGATCCTCAGTGTGTTGTCTGGGACTATGGCAACCCGTAAGTTACTCTAAATGACTCTGACACTGTGTGCATGTGAGTGTGTGCAATACAGTCCATACAGTACATGTGTCTGTCAGCGCATCTCTTGATGTTTATCTTGTGTGTGCTCGTGCCATGTCAGATTAATTTTATTAATGAACTGAAAACTGTTTAATGAAGTTCCCTGTGCTAGTGTTAATTAAATTAGTCAATAAGAACAAACACCATTCTCTCTATGTTGCTCAGAATTCAAAAGTAACTCACTCAGCATGCCTCAGTGAAGCAAGTTTTCCTTTGTTGCAGTTCTCCTAACCTTTACTCACATCATGTTAGAGGTTTAACTTGCTATTCTTTATTCCACTGTGGACATTTGGTTAAACTTGAATGATCCAGTTCCATGCAGTCAGTGACCTGAAGCTACCTAAAAGCTTTTCTCTCGTTTGTCTATGTAGGCCACTGACTTTTTGATACCGTTGGCTTTGAATAGTGGACCATCTACTGAACTACATACATAATATAAACCAGCACAATTGATCATGCTGTTTTGACCATTAACCCACATACTTTTTTTGTCAATAACAAAGTCAAACTTGGTCAGAACCATTAAACCAGGCTTTGGTTCCAGGTCATGGTCTCAGTACATTTTCACAATTACAAGCGAACAACCCTTATCTTCTGCTCCTGCCAGAAAAGATCATTGTTTTGGTTCAATATTACAGAACGTAATGTCAAAGCTTCTTTTGCCCCTAAACGATCAAAAAAAGATTACTACAGGTGTAGAGCACACTGCTTATTACACTAACCTCTGACACTGAATTCAACATTGACAAATATTACCATACAAATGTTGCTAGGAAATGATACTGTTGGGACAGCAAATATATCGACTGTGGGCGATTTACAGATACCTACAGCGTAAAACTTAGATATAATGTTTTACAGTTGCATTCAATAAAAGTGACTTTTTTTGTCAATTTAATGCTTGTCAGTTCATTCTTGGTCTTGGAAACAGCAGCTGACAAAGCAATCTCCACTCCAGAGCTACTTACTTGTTCTGGAGCTTTTCATTGTATCACATGGTCTTCTCTGCAGATGAAATTTGCTCAAAAATGTGTTCAGTTATCATGGAAGTGTAGATGTTATTGATTTCGATCCTGAGCGTTGTAGGACTTCTCCATGACAGGCTTCAACTTGTGATGAAGCCTGTCATGATACGCAACTAGGGACAACTTTTCCTGCAAAATATATTTGCTAATACAGATTAGTTTTATATGAACATAAGTGTCAATAGACAGATTTGAGAAATTAATTTTCAACAGAGCAAATGTCTTTTATAAGAACTGAATGTGTCATGGGGCCACCAGAGTAGACCTCCCAGTCTACTGTGACAACAAGATGGATGAAAGAAAAATTCTGGTCAGCTCCGCTTCCCCCTAATTAGTTATCCAGTTCTAGAGGAGTACTCTCCAGTGACCAAAGCGCCCAATGGAACTGCGGGTTCACACAGAGAGGATACGACATTGCAACTTATCAAACTACCCCTCTCAATCAAGGTAGGAGAGGAACAAAGCTCTGCAATGTCAATTAACTAGCCGGCAGATTACAGCTGCAATCAAAATTAAATTTGCAGTCATTACGAGGGCAGATACGCAAACAGAATACAAAGTGGCATGGCAGCTGCAATGTCTATCAACCAAACGTACTCAAACTGGGAGGAATGTGGAGAAGGTCCAAATGTGTTTACCCAGGGATTAGCTCAGTCAGACAACTCACGTTTGAAATGTTTATCACAGCAGTGGAACATAGTTAGAGTTTGGCGTCTAGGCCCCAACCTCATCTCTCCCCGCAGATATGTTTACATAGAGATATTGGGGAGTGATGAGGAAATATGTTAAACCCCATAGCCGGAGCCTGCAGGTGGATGCTGTGGTGGTGGTGGGGCTTAAAGAACAGGCAGCAATACTGATGCAGGACATTTACAGGGCAGAGGGAGATGGGAAGTGTTGCAGCTTAAAGAGACCGCTAAAATTGGGAGTGTTTGTTTGGTAGATGATTGTGGAGAGTGAGGCATGTCACGTGTGAGCATATAGCCGTGCGGCTCGAGTTGACTGCCTGAACTAGCTCCCAGGCGTCGCTCCATTTAAAATTTTTGTAGAGATACACTCACACAGACGCTTAGAATTGTTCACACACACACACTAACAATGACCTATGTTGATTCCTTAAATGCAAGATTTGAATGTAGCCAGAAACTGGCATCAACCAAACAACAATGTTGAAGTTGTAATAACTGTAGCTGTCAGGAGCAACACTGAGCATTGTCTGCTCTATGCTATTTGTGATCTCCATGGGTTGTTTACAGTTTGAGCTAATGTACTTGAATGGACTTGACCGTTGCAGTGTCAACAGCTTTATCATCACAACTAGACATTTGGGTGCACAGAAGCTGTTAGGAGGGGGTGTACGTCTGTGAAGCTCAGACAACTTACAAGAATTTGTTGCCTGGTCACATATGGAATTTAAAATGTATTCATTATGTACATCATGGGTACATGCACACATTGAAGGAATGAAAAGGACACCAGCACAGGGACCAAAGTACCCTGTGCACATGTACACTGACTGTACAGTTTTGGTATTTGAATCATCTTCCATTTGCTTGTCTGTGCTGGGCAGCGGATCTTGACTGGAGCGGAGCGGATATTGATATGGGCAGAGAACATGTTGTACAAAGCAGCAGTTTGTTTGCTGGAGGATATCACCTCTCTCAACCTGGCTGTCTCCCTAACTGAGGCACAGGCTTTGAGGGTTGAGCAGGAGGCAGACAAGAGGTGCAGGATGTATAGATAGCAAGGCGGAGGGAAGGCAAACACGGCAGCAGCTGAACCAGACAGCAGGCGAAAAAGAAGTTCAGCTCAGAGATGGAAAAAATATCTTTGCCAATTTATGCCCTGTATTTGGAGGCTATATTTTGTGCACCCACATTCAAAAAACAGATTATATACTGTATGTGTATCTTATCTCTCACTTGATTGTTATAATGTGCGCAAATAGTTTATGCACACTCACTTGGAGATTAGGGATCACATAGAGGCTCAGATCTCTAAAGCCTTCTGTCATCCCCATCACAATTGTCATGTTTTTCAGCAGTGGCGGTCTTGTTAGAAATCTGCAAGCAATTTCAGCAGTAGCTCTTTCCCATTTGCGCTCTCTCTCAGCTGGCTAAGTTGGCCAACAGTTTGTGGCACTCACAGTTCATCTCAGTATTTATGTGTGAGTGTTTATTTATTTATTTTGCCCCTAACAGGCCCATATGTCGGCACCATCTGCCCACCCAAATAGTTGCTCTGCACCATCCCTCCCTGTCTTCCCCCATGTGCCTGTCTTCGCAACCCACGCTCATTCATTTGCCTTGCCGACTCGCATAAATACTGTTACATTTAGCTCTCATAAAAGTTTTACAAGGTTCGAAACCCGGGAGCACAGGTTAGTGGAAGCAAAGGAGGCCATTAAGAATAAAAATGTCTGACCATGTCTGGAGGTATACAGGGACCTGAAATAAAATCCTTCACATTGTCATTTTTGTCTATCTTTAATCTTCACTAGGTTATCTCTATCTATATATACTGTATCTCTTTCATTTTTCTGTTGCCACTCACTAACGCTCTCTCTCATCCATGGGAAATGATGATGGGTGTTCAGCTTCTCTTAGCTTTGTGGTTGTTGACCTTGCCCCTGGCATCTCCGTGCTTTGACCCTCACTCTGCCTCGGTATAGGGAATCTGGCTGAACCCTGTATGTGTGTTGCATTGTAGATTACTGTAGCTCCATTCGATTGTAAATGTGCCACTCCTAGATGTACCGCACTGATTTTAGAGCTGCGTTTTCAATCAGAACAAACTGCCTTTTTTGCTGGCAGAATATACATTGAATATACATTGCACTTCCTACTTATTTATCCGTCAGTCATACATATTTTATTTCTAGTAAGTATTGAGGCAACATAATGTTATACAAATGAAAAAGCTCAAATTGCTATGCGTTATAGGTGGGCAACTGAGCAATCTCATTTCAAAGCATGCTTAAAAAAGAAGACCCAGAAGTTAGCGATAAGCGGAGGTGGAAAGTAATGAATTACAATTACTCACATTACTGAAATTGAGTAGTTTCATTGTGTACTTGTAGTTTTTTAAATCTGTAATTTTACTTTTACTTAAATTATTGTACTTTACTACATTTTCAATTACATCTCTTACTGAGTAAAAAAATGTGCAAGGGAAAACTCACAACCACTTTGGCTTCAAGTGCAACAGAACAACAGCTTTATTATTTAGCAGTTACTGCTACTGCAAACTGAACATTTCCTGCTGCTACAGCTTCACATTAAGTTTGTAAGTGAGATAAGCGATCACCTCCACCTTCTCAGCCAGGTAACCAACTCTTTTCACTTTCACGTGCAGCATAAAGTCAGACCATGACTGCTCACATAATTATGGAAAATACCATTAACTGCCCAACAATAGTTTGTTTAGCTGCCTCAGACTTCTGTGCCCTGTGGTATTAAAAGGCATCTGCTGTAACCACCAGTAACAGGTGTCTCATGCACAGTAATGGTGCAGCTGCAAAACAGCTTTGAAACCGGGTGATTAATATATCATGCCAATCAGAGTTACAGTTATAATTACAGATTTTGACCATCACTCCTCAGTGAACTGCCTCCTTGGCTGTGGTCTGAGAGCATTTTTCTTAGTTAAGTTTCTTAGTAGGCCTATGTAGATTTTTCATTATGGATTTTACCATGTTTTTGTTTGTTGCTGTTGTTTGTTCTGTTCACACTGATATAAGCTATGTTGATTATTTTAGGTTAAAAAAGTAACTTTTAAATGAGCTACTTTTTACTTTTACTTGAGTAGAGTTTTATACCAGTAACTTTATTTGTACTTTGTATTTGTACTGTAAAAGTTTATCAAAGGAATTGTTCTTTTACTTAAGTAGAATATTTTTGCACTCTTTCCACT